TCTGATGTTACTTCTGGATAATCACCATCCCTGCAAGGTTGGCCTCGGCTTCTGTTTTCTCAGCTAAGTGCAATTTCACGTAATGCTCTTTTGCTTTCTTTTCTCAATTTTTTTGTTCTCACCTTCAAAACTATGTCCTGTCCAGATGCAGTTGTGTGACCTTTCTGGTTGGCTGTGCCACCAAGTGTGTTTTCAGTGTTGGTGAGCCCTTTATATCTTTGCATTTTTGTTGGCATCATCTCTGTCTTTGTCTGAGACTGCAGATATCTTCATTTTGGGTCATTGCAGCCCCATTTCACTTTCTTCTTAATCCTTTCCTTAGTTGACTGCCTTTCAGCCTGGAGCTATGCATTGGTCTCCTTGCTTCTGTACTGTCCAGCCTTTGTGGCCTTTCTCCTTTCTTTCAGTACATAGAGGCTCTTTCAGCAAAAGTGCCTTGAATTTTATATTTTGTTTGGAAATAGGGAGTCCTCTGACTTTGTTGTTTTTAAATTGCTTTGGTTACATACAGTCCTTCACATTTCCATAAATATTAGAGTCAGCTCATTAGTTTCTGCAAAAAAGTAAATAAATACTTTAGAGTTTTCATAAGGATTGCACCAAATCTAAATCAACTTGAAGAAAATAACCATCTTAATAATGTTGAAAGGGCTGGGAAGATAGCTCAGCAGACTAAGCGCCTGCTTAGGCAAGTGTAAGGACTGGAGTTCAATCCCCAGCACCATCTGGCAGGCTGGTCCTGACCCTGAGTGCATGGAGCCAGCACCGAGACCAGGTGTGATGGCGCATGCCTGTAATCCAGGGCTGGGGAGGCTGAAAACAGGAGGATCACTATGAGTCTGAGCTGCCTAGTGAGACCCTGTGCCAAATACATATAATAATAATAATAATAATAATAATAATAATAATAATAATATTGAATAATCCATTCACATGAAATATCCTTTTATTTAGAGCTTTGAAAATGTGTCTGAAAGGGGCTGAGGGTGCTTAGTGTGCACAGGGCCTGTCTTCAATTCCCAGCATGTGCACACAGGTGTCTACACACCTTTCTGTCACAAGAGTGGCAGTTTTTAGTGTGCGATTCTTGTAGTTAAACCTATGGACATTTTACTCTTTTGTGAATATTTTAATTTTATTTTTAGATTGTTTTAATATAGCATATAGAAATACAGTTTTTATATATTGATTTTTCTATACTTATTAGTTGTAGGTTGTTGGTTAGGATTTTCTACATACAGATGATGTTATCCATGAAGATAAAAATACTTTTCAGATAGTTCAGTGGACTAAATGCCTGCTTTGGCAAGCACAGGGCTGGGATTCAATTCCTAGTACCTCATGTTGCACCGACCCTGCCCCTAGGCATGCTGAGCCAGCCACTGAGACCGGACACGGTGGTGCACACCTGTAATCCCAGGTCTGGGGAGACTGAAAATAGGAGGATCACTATAGTTCAAGCTGTGTAGTGAGACCCTGTACAAAGTATAAAAACAAACAAAACTTTTCAATCATGTTTGGTGGTTGTTTTTTTTTTGTTTTTTTTTTTTTTTTTGGCAGAACTGGGGATTGAACTCAGGCCTTTGCGCTTGCCAGGGAAGTGCTTATTCTACTGAGCCATCTCCCTGGCCCCCCAATCAGATATTTTAATTACAGAAATTCTCTAAAACAATGCTGATTAGAAACGGTGAGGCAGGGCCAGGGAGATAGCTCAGTGGCATAAGTGCTTGCCTGGCAAGTGCAAAGTCCTGAGTTTAATCTCCAGTGCTGTAAGAATAAAAAAATAAAGGAAAAGAAATGGTGAGGCAGACATCTCTGCCTTGCTTTCAGGAGGAAAGTACTCTTTCACCATTTTGTTAGCTATACTTTTTTTTTTGTATGCCCATTTTCCACTTGAGAAATGTCCTTTTATTGCCAGGTGGCTTAGTTTATTTTATGTTGCTATAACAAAATGCTGGAAACTAGGTTTTTATAACAAAAAGAATATTTAGCTGATGGTTCCAGAGTTCAAGAACATTGCCCTGAATCTGCTCAGTCCTGATAAGGGCTCATACTCATTGACATCACAGTGGCAGAAATACCAGTAAAAGTAGTGATCACCAAATGTGGAACCGGGATTAGGAGTTGGTGCTAGGCTTTTTTATACACATATATGGTTTTACTACCCTGTTCAGACTGCTATGCAGTTCAGACTCATAGTGATCTTCGTCTCTCAGCTTCTCCGGTGCTGGGATTACAGGCATGCACTACCACACCTGGTTTTAGGGCTGTCATGGCATGCTCTGTTTTCGAGACCAGCACAGCATGCAGTCCCAGGGATGGAGCTATCTCGCCAGCTCTGGGCTTCATTTTAATAACCAGTTGTTGGAAGAACTAATTCAGTCCCATAATACCTGTGTTAATGCCCCCTCATGGTGTTTCCCACATCACTTAATGATTTTCTTTAGGCCCCATCTCTTAAAGCTTCTACTACCTCACCACCCTACTGGGGACCAAGCTTTTAGCATATAAATTCCAGACAACAAATCATATCAAGTGCTGCATATTAATGATGACTTGGTGTTGAATTTTGTCAGGTATTCTTTTCTACGTCTATTGAAATGATCAAAAAGTTTTTCTCTCTTATTCTATTAATATGGTGTGTTACATTAATTGAATTTTTGGTATGTTAAACCAAACGTGCATTTCTTGTATTTGGTCCTACTTATGATTCATTTTATATTATGCATTGCTGAATTTAGTTTGCTGATTTTGTTTTGAGACAATCTTGCAAATTCAGGCTGGCCTTGAGCTCACTATATAGCCCAGGCTGGCTTTGAACTCTGTGCTATCCTCCTGCTTCAGCCTCCTGAGTGCTGGGATTATAGATGTGTGCCACCACACCTGGCAAATTTGTTGATTTTTTAAATTGAAGACATACACACCTGCATTCATTAGTAATGTGCAATTTTTGCACTAAGTCCATAGTGTCAGGGTAATTCTGACCTCAGCATATGTTGGGAAGCGTTTCTTTTTTTCTTTTTCTTTTCTTTATTTCTTTTCTTTTTTTGTTGTTGTTGAGAAGTCTTACTAAATTGAGAAGTTACCTAGGTTGGACTGGAATTCATAATCCTGCCTCAGCTTCCTAAAATGCTGGGATTGCAGGGATACACCACCTGCCTGGATTCTACTAATTCTTATAAAACAGGCGTGCTAACAATGTATTTTGTCCTGTCTTTACTTTTCTGGGAATGTCTTTATTTTGCTTTCACTTTGAAGAATAATTTTGCTTGACAGATAACTATCTTGGTTGACACTTTGAAGTTTGGTATTTCCTATTAGTACTCTGAATATATTATCCCACTGACTTCTGGCTTCCTGGGTCTCTGCAGAGTCATTACTCTCTTGCTTTCACAATTTTCAGTTTGTCTCTGGCTTCTGATGGTTTGACTGGGATATGTTTGGATGTGGACTTATTTATGTTTTCTCAAGTTAAAGTTTGTGGAGTTTCCTGGGTATTTTGTTTTTCATTAAGTTCAGTAAAATTTGACTGCTCTTTCCCCTCAAATATATCTTCTGTTCCTTTTTGATTTCTCATTGTGGTTATGCTGAAATGCTTGAATAGTTTTAATTTGGGGGAATATTAAGAGTCCACTTTACATTTTGTAAGGCAGGGGAGTATTGGTAAAGAGGTTATTTTAGTAGTTGACAATACTGGTGTAAGCATGTAAAAGGAATCAATGTCCTTCATTCAGTTTTCTGGATGACTTGTATAATAGAGTGGTTATGTTTATTAGGAAAGATTGAAGAAAATGATAGGGTGACAAGTTGTATATACAATCTTTTATTTACTCTATTTTCTGTGTGGAGGTTTGTATTTCCATCATTTCATTTTATTTTTTATTTCATCATTCTTAATAGATCATAATTTCATGCCCACATTCTCCCCCTTTCCTGTATCTCTTGGTCCCCTTCTCATTTGCCAAATACCTAATACCGTTAACTAACCATAGTTAAAACTAAGATGCATATGGCGATGTATCAGTCAGAAAGTTTAGATGAATAGCTCTTATTTCACAAATATTTTAGCCAAAGATGTTTAAAATTTTTTTTAAATGTATTACCATAAAGGAGAAATTGCCATTAATGCCCCTCAAAATACTTCCCCTTTCTTTGAACATACTTACCCCATCATTATTCTTTTATGTGGATGTCTTTAGCTGTCCTGAATTGATTCAAGATGTTTTACCTTTAATGATTATTTTGATTTTAGGGAAGAGCCAGAAGTGGCATAGGGTCTGGTCTGGTGACGATGAGGACAGCCATGTTTTTTGGAATGGGCCTTTTGGTTGGATAGCACTCAGCACCAACATTCACTTTTTTAAAAAAATTTCACCATATTTTTTATTACACCTCATGAAGGCACTCACGTAAGACTTCCAGTATGGCCTTAGAAAGTGGCAAGAATGGTGTGATAAATGTACTTGAAGTGGGCGGGACGGTATCTTGAGGGGGATGTGTGTGTTTTACTGTAATAAATGTGCTTCCCCCCCTCCCCCCGTATTTTAGGGAAGGGTCTACAGGTGTTCAGTCTCACTGCTAGATCAGACTCATAGTGATTCTCCTTTTTGCAGCCTCCCAAGTGCTGGGATTACAGGCGCACTCAATCGCTGGTTCAACACACCATGGGAGTGGGGCCAGCGCCTATGTCTGCTTGCAGGCACTTTAATGTGCTGAGCTGAGCTATTTGGCCAGCCCTTATAAATGTGCTTTAATTTGAACATTCATAGTATATTTTGATCACATCATGTATAAATGTCTGTAAAAGGAGTATACCTATAATTTTATTTGGCAAAGATAATAGTCCTATTTGAGTTCTAAGAAGTAATACTTTCACACTGTAACTTTTGCATATGCTATTCTCTATTTAAAATATTTGCTTTTAAGTTAGCATGTTTATTGAGATTATAAATGGCAGTTATGTTGAGTATGAGAAATATTACTCTGCTTTATCTTTTCAGCTGAAGACCCATCTAAAAGTTATGTGAAATTAAGAGATTTTGTGCTTGTGAAGCTTTGTCAAGATTTGCCTTGTTTTTCTCGGGAAAAATTAATGCAAGGATTCAATGAAGATATGGCAATAGAAGCACAGCAGAAATTCAAAATAAATAAGGTATTTTTACTCCGTAGAAATTTATGTATATACATATTTGTGTATTTATTTTGAGGAGCTCATTTAGTTCAGGCTGGCTTTGAACTCATTATCTAAGCCAGGCTATTCTTGAACTTGTGAGGATCCCACTGCCTCAGCCTCCTGAGTGCTGGGATAACAGGCATGTACCACCACACCTAATTTTAGAGTTGGGTTTTTTTTTT